ATAAAACATAAAAATTAAAGGATAGAAGCCCAAAGCATTCAACCTATATGGCCTAAAACTTTTGGCCATGGTGAAGGAAGAGACAATCATGTGTCACTCGTGGTCGTAGTGGTTTAGGTTTGACTCAACGAGAGATGTCCGGCTTTCTTTCGACATGATGAAAGTTGGGTTCTAGACTCATTGAGTAATTTTTTGATATAGAGGTACTCTTATGACACTTTTATGGCGATCTTTACAAGCGTTATGTCTACTTTGGCATTAGTTGGTGCTCTAATTTTTCTTTTTATTCTCTTTCCCTGCGAAAGCCTTGGCTCATTAGTTCTTTTTTATGACGACGAGGGTAGCTCCTCTAGATTTTTAAATAAAAACAATGCCCTCATCACTACTTCTCACATTATTGTGTCTTTTTTTTACTTCTTCAACATAGTGTTGGTTGTTTATATTCATATAAAAAGAGGACAATCTTCCTTCTTTTAAGTATTGTTTAACTAATGTTAACCTTAGAGAATTTTCTTTAAGAGGGAGAACAATTTGGTTAAGGATCAAAAGATTATGAGCATCCTTCCTTTTTTTTTTTTTTTCATACCGACACATCTTTTCATTTCTCCTTCAAAAGATAATTATCCGTGTACCTCCGTGGATTAGGTGGTCGTGGGTTTTTCACTAGTGGAGTACCAATGTATTCATTTTCTTTTGGGTGGTTAAGAATACATTCATTAGTTTTTTTAATGCTTTGTTATAGTTGGTGTATATCCTTAGGTCGAGTACTCGTGACCTAAGAAATCTAAAGTGGTTGTGCAACCTAGAGTTTTTCGATGATCAACCATGGAAGACTTTGGAGATTTATGGAGAAATAAAAAATTGGCTTTTTAAACATTTTTTTCTATACGACACCAACTAAAGAGTCCTTTAAACTCAAACAATTATTAAAGATTACATTGCTCTTGATGGCTAATGATGGGTGATGGAGATTGATTGTTTTTTATGATCCTTTTTTACATAAATCATCCGAAAAATAAATCGTTCGATGGACTAAAGAACCCCTCGATAATAAAGTTGGTAATCGAAAAAAAGACTTATTTGATTAAGTTTTCAGTGTCTCTATGGAAGTGAGGTAGATAAGGAATAATATAATAATTTAGAGATTGTAAGATTAAGAAGTTGGAACTCTTTGTTATTAGAGTTCTTATACATGAGAGATTTTAATGCTACTTGAAAAGCCATATTTTCATTGTGACTTGTTATCCGATGACACTAATATTATCGACACTAATGCTATCGTGATTGGTGTTACTTGAACAATGACAATGACAATCTTAAAGAATTTATTTATTAAATGTCTGCTCTTTTGTCATGATAATTGTTTGTCTGGGATGGATGTTTAGGGTTGAAGGAATAATGATCCTTCGTTGAGGCGCCAACTAGTTATGGAGGGAATTGTGCGTTTTGTTTCGAATTATCTCTGACACGTCCTGAATGATACATATCATCCGGACTGCTTTAATGCGGCAACCTTTTCTTTTTGTCTCGTGACGATGAAACATAAACGCTTTTCATTTTTTTAAGGGTGGGATCAATGTACCTACGATATTACTTTGGTGGGTGCGAGTCAAAGCTTTTATCTTATTAAGGTTAATAATTGTCTTTATATTTGTAAGCTTCTGATTTACCGAAAGAAAAGCCTGAAAGCACTAAAATGATTGATTATTAATCAAGAGAATCTAATTTATTAATTGGATTATGGTGAAGAGGCGAAAAATGCTCCGCCGCCTCTAGGTACTGTAGGAATTTTTAACATGCACGTGGACTAATTAGAGATTTGGAGCCACCAGTCGTAGCACGTCTCAGTTTTCTTTGTATAGAATTGATTATTAGTCAAGTCCAAAACTCGTTTCTTCATTTTGATCAAAACTTGAAGCAGTAGTTCCGTTTGGATTGTTCTAGAAAACTTTGGGAACACTATTCAACCCTTCTCTCTTTTGCTTACATTGTGTTCATAAAAACTAAATAATGTTGACGGTAAATTGGAATGAACTTCTCTTTGTTGATTTAGAATTGATTTTTGAATTCATTTAATTTTGTGATATATATGAGAGAGAGAGAGAGAGACGAAGTCCATCAGGGTCCTACTAAATACTAATATGTCGAGGAAAAACAAAGGAAAAACAAATACTCCTTTGAATAAACAAAGTACTAGTAATAAAGATGACCAATCATTAAAATAAATTAGAAAAATGAAGAAAAAGACGAAATCTGGTTTGATTGGGCTGGCCCAGCACTCACGTTCTATGGTGAAGAAGCATAATGATAGCGTCAAGGGATTGGTTAAGTTGTTAATGAGAAAGGATCCTTGAATTTGAAATATTAAGTTTGAATGTTAAATAGATTTCTCTAGAAGTTTTATATCACATCTCATGAAGAGGTGGCGACCTCAAGACACAAAGTTTGGAAGGACATGTCTCGAACCATTGAAGATAGTCTATCTTTATGGGTTGAGTTTAAAGCCCGTAACTAACAGGCAGGCTTTTCCTGTTAGGGAGGTTAGGATTTGTGGTTTTGCTAGATGGTGTTATCGTATTCTAGACTGTCAAAACCAAAAAAACAACTTGAAAGACCAAATTAAGTTCAATCATATTAAGTAATAGTATATTTGTATGCATATGGGCATGAAAAATATTTAAATATAAATATATATAAACTCTAATATATTCGATATAATCCATGACTCTAATAAATTAAAAAAAAAATCAGTTAAAATATTAACGTACTAATTATTATTTTAGATGATAGTTTTCTAGTTAATCATAAAAGTTTTATTTAAGTTAGAAATGTAAGTAAACTATCTTTGGAATTATTTCAATTGAGTACATTTTCTAGCTTTTTTTGTTTAATTTCAACGCATATTTTCTAAATAAAAAAATAGTTTCATTATGCTTTTTTTTCTCACATGAATTTTTTCGATATACGTTAAATGAGAAAATAAATAAATTCATTATGTAGGACATAATTAAACTGTGTTTTTCAACATTAATTTTGAAAATATAACAGTTACCGTAATCAAACTTCAAGAACATTTATTGTCATTTAAAAAAATATTAATTACTGCCAAACATGCATAGTCCAAGCTGGACAGCAACTTGTTTGGCAACTAATATAAGACTTATCCAGTGTGCGTTTTTAGAATAGATAATCTAATTATCAATAAAATATTTGTGTATTTTGTCACAATATTAGAGAGTTTGAAAGTTTTAAATTAAGTTATTTCAGTCTTAACTCTTATGTGTTCTATCGGATTTTAGTCTTTTGCATTTCAATTTTTATTTTTATTTTAATTATTTCACCATATCAATTAATATCAGATATTACAAACACAAAAAACCACTTATTATTAAAAAGCCTCTTATTTTACAAATCTAATTTATAATTTTTAAGGGATACAATTGAATTATTTATATATAGAGACCAAAATAAACTTTGAAAGGGTCTTGACCCTTACATACTTCCATTAAGCCGAAGATCAAGGATCAAGACTTCGTCATGAGTAGTGTATTGGTGGTTGGATATTTTACGATCTAACTTACCTATAAGTTTTGTTAGACATAAAGATCGATTACCTATTAAATCAACAGGCTTCCCTGCACCGAAAAAAGTTGATTGTTAAGGTAATTAGCCTTCCCTATTCCCCTAAAATATTTATTTTTGGTATCTTTAGGCTTCCACTTTCTCCTAAAAGATTGACTATACCAGCTTAATTGGCTTTCTTACGCCCTTAAAAGATCATGATTATATAGTCTTTAGTTCTAAAGCAATAATACAATTTGCGTCATTCGTTTTCTATGTGATAAAATTAATTTGTTCATAAAATTAAACCTCTTAATTCTCCTGATGGATAAAACTTTTGCTCATTGAAATCTATGTGATATATATATATATAATGATCATTCAAAAAGTTAATCAATTAATCTAAAGTTAAATTTTTAGGTTCTCAAATTCACAATAAAAATTCCTTAATTAGTTTTTTTAACTGTTTTGAAAATATGTGCACTATATCCTAAAACTTCAAACGCTTAAAAATTTCACAAAACACATAAAGAATATATATGATAGTGATTAAAAAAAAAAAAAAACACAAGTTGGGTTGAGTTAGTTATTTGATGGATGAGAAACATCCTTCAGTCAACCCGATTTGACTGGTTTGAAATAAAACAATAATGGATCTTGGATATTTTGGATCGAAAATGGGTATAAAAAACTCATTCTCACCGAAATATCATCTTTAATCATAAATAATTATCGCAAAGGATAGATCTAATTGTTAGTGGATGTGTTTTTTTCTTTTTTAAAAATGACTAATGAAGTTTGGATTTCGAGTCAACTTGCAAGAATTTCTTTCTTTCTTTTTTTTTTTTTTTAATTGTTTAGTTTTGTTTTAACCCACGCTGGATATACAGGTGAACTTATTAATTTCCTAGGGAAACTTAATTGAAAATAACCCGTGCGGAAAAAAAAATGATACGGATGACCTAACTGTGCATGGAAATTTTATTCTTGCGAACAAATCAGATTAAAGGCAAGAATCAGAACGACGTTAAAAAAAATATGCATATTCGGAGAAAAGCGATTTATTACACTTTAAGAATTCTTATCATAGGTAAGGTCGAACAATCGAATTTAAAGAGTGCTTGACGAGAGAACTTTCCTAGAAGTTGAGGGGTGTTTTATGTTTTTCGTTTCTCTTTCTCTTTCTCTCTCTATCTCTTAAAAAAAAAAACTCTAGATTTGGTCAATCCACGTTCTGGAAAATTCAAACATCTATCGTCAGATGCGACCTCAGCTCCGAAATCCTTATATTGGTATTCACCAAATAACATGACTCATCTACGACCAACTTTGAAAAAAACCAAATTTGAAAGCAAAACAAACAAGGCACTACTGTACTCGAAAAAATTAACAATCGTTTCTAACGTTGAGGAAATCACACACACGAAGCAAACAAGGGCATGGAAGAGCCCAATAAAGAGAAGGAAAAGGAGGAGAAAGGGAGAGAAGAGGTTCGATATCGGGGTGTTCGAAGGAGACCTTGGGGAAAATTCGCGGCGGAGATAAGAGACCCATCAAGGCATGGAGCAAGGTTATGGCTAGGGACATTTAATACGGCGGAGGAGGCAGCTCGTGCTTATGATAGAGCTGCATTTAGCATGAGAGGTCATCTTGCAATCCTCAACTTTCCTAATGATTATCTCTCTCAGGTAACGGGATCCTCTCCTCAATCATTTTCATCATCTAGTAGCAATGTTGGTGCAAGCGAGAGTTTCGAGACGGGAAGCTCATCGAGTACCGGACGAGGAAAGCAAGTTATCGAGTTGGAGTACTTGGATGATAAGATTTTGGAAGAGCTTCTTGAAACAGAAGAGGAGAAGAAGAAACGGCAGCAAGATTGAGTTTTGTTTTTTATGTGCTATTACCTTTCTTTTTTGTGCTTGCTTTAAGATTTCTTGAATTTTTTCAAGAACCTCTATGATTTTCATATTATAAGTTCTTACTTACACAAGATGAATAAGGTATTGTTAGGGATCTAATTAATTATTAACCCAACTTTTAGGGAGAGATGGCATGCATACCTAAATTAGTAGGTAAAGATAAACTGTAAGAATTAATTTGGAAATCTAGAGTAATATAAAATTGTGTTTTCCAGAGAGAAATTTTAGTTATATTAGGTGTATGAATGCTAGACAGCGTTTGTCCTTTAAATCTCTAGATTCATCCTATTATGATTATAAATGTATATTTTAAGTCCAAAACAGCTTTGTTCCATCATGCTTCCTTTTTCCTCCCAATTTTTCCTAACATAAACCTTGTATGAATTTTTTGAAGTTAATTACATATTGTAATGATACCTTGCCTTTGGATTCACAAATATGTGAAACTGGTCACTCGTAGCCTCAGTCCCCTCTCCAGCTGAAGAAGACGTCGCCCATGCACGGACCGTTAATAGCATTGCTGTTTCTTAGCTCTTAGCTAGCCTTGGCGACATTTTGTTTTCATTATATTTTACAGAAGAATTTATGCCATCATACAAGTTTTGGGAAATCCTATCCAATCGAACCAAATTTGTATATTATGAAGTTAGCAATTGGTTAGTTTGATGGATAAAGATCAAATCTTGTTCATACATGAAATGCAAAGTTATAGAGTCGTTCCAACTATTTGGCTTAGTTGGTAGAGACCTAGCTCGGTTTATGGTACAAAACCTGCTTCAGTATAGAAAAGAAAAACTAAACATCAGGTCACCTACATTAAGGGATTGAATAAGTATATTGTATATGCTGGATTTTAAAAAAATCAATTAAGTAATTTTATTATGAACTAATTATTATTATTATTATTATCTTGATATAGATCCAAACTATATAACAAATAGATTACATTGAAGATAGGCATCGCTCAACAAAAGGCCTTGGTTCGAAGTATTGGCATGGATATTTTGAGAGAATCCTCTAAAAAAAGACTCAATTGTTACTTTTTTTAACATTTGTTAGCGAGTTGATACAATTTAAAAAAAAAAAAATTCAATTCAATTTTGACTGTTCAAACTTGAATAACATGACAAGATTTTAACGAATAAAAGTCATCTTTAATTTACTATAAATACCAACATGATCACTTTCCAACTCTTTATCTCTAGCAAAAAAAAAAAAAAAAAACACTTATGCAGTCTCTCTCAAAAGTCACTACAAAAAAAATAAAAAAACCAACAAATTCCGTATTTAAATAGCGACGGATAGCAAACTATTTTTTAATGTGAGATTTAGCGACGAGCTACCGATCGATTTGCAATGTAAGTTAAACGACAAACATGGTTTGTCGTTAAATATGATGGTAAAATATGCATAGTTTTTTCAGTGATGGATTAGCAACGAAATTATGAGGACATTTAGCCATGGATAAATCAATCCGTCATTATTTTTGGTTTTTCATTTGTGTTCAATTTATAAGGGAATATTCTATCGCTAATCCTTTGATGATGTTGCAAATCAATGATGGACACATTTTCGTTACTAGATTTACCATTAATAATAGCGGGTTAAGTAAAATTAGTCGTCATTTTTTATAAATGAGGCGAGTTGTTTGAAATTAAAAATCAATGATGGACACTTAAGTCCGTCGCTAATTACCAGTGGATCAGCTTTGGAGTAGCGTCCCACGCTAAAAATAAATCCCTAAATTGCTGAATCTCCTTTCTTCCCTCATTTTCTTCTTCCTTCTCCCTCTCCTCCTCTTACTGCTGCCACTTCCCACCCTCAACGTTGCTTGCAATGCCCCCCAAAATTGTAGAGTATGATTTTGCTTTCGATATTCAGCATCTGAGAGATCAATTACAGCAAATGATCTTGACAAGAACTAGTTTTCTTTTAAATTTTTTTTCAACACACTCGTATACCGAATTGTATTGTAATATATATATATATATATATATATATATATATATATAAGGAAGAAGGACAATAATATTGTCATTTGATCATAACTCTTTGGCAATTGTTGAGTTTCTTAACCCATAGCTAATTTATACATGGTAATAAATAATTAAGTTTCTATAAAGAAACTAGATAGTGAAATTTATATTGATGCAGGTCTGATGTGTAAGAAAGTATTGCTTATTTTTTGGCACTCCAGTTGACTGGTAAGTTTTTGGCTCTGCTCCATTAAATTAATGCAGAATCTGAGTAAAGCAAATCTCTTCTTCTTTAAATCAAATGTTATCTAGAATCGGAAAACAGGAATAAAGGTTCAAGGTTCAGATAATTGTTGTTTGTATACGAATCATGCAACGATTTCTTTTCAATATGATTATAAAAATTGTTTAAAAGTTTAAGTTTAATAAGAATTGAAGTTCTAAAAAGAATACACACTACAGATTTTGTAGATATTGCATAGTTTTAAGGGGTTAAGATTTCCAGCTTGAAAAATGACATGTTATTCTCAAAAGATGTTCTTATCAAATATATAAAATTTCAACATTAATACAAGTATCATCAGTAACTAAAATTAAAAGCTCAAAAGTAATTAGAATCTTGGTGATCAGCATTATCAAACGAGATTATTGTCTTCTTACAATATTCTGCATCTTGTAATGCTCCTTTGAAATTGCAGGACAAAGGTTAAGATATCAAGATCAGTTCCATAAGCGAATCCAATCTCAAGATGTGATGGCACCTTAGTCAATTAATTCTAATAGTTCTTTTGAAGATATGCGAGATTTTATCAAATGGTGATCATCCAGAGTGCTGCGTGTGGTGTAACTAGTCCTATTCCTGGGGTGGAAGACAGTATATCTTGTAAGCTAACTCCTGATGGCGGATTTCCCTAAAAACATTTCTTTTATTTGGTTAGAGATAGGGGCAATATGGTGGATTGGTTTAATTAAGTTGATAAAGTTGTCAAATATCATTTCGGATTTTATTTTTTTTTTTTTTTTGAGAACCAAATAATTTTGTGCTCCTTTCATTCTTAGTTTAATTTATTTATGTTATAAATTAATCAAATCTAATTTTATGCAGTATTACAAACTTATTTAATTTTACGGTCTTTAATTTAAATAATTTAATAATTATGCATCTGATATTTTTTTAGTAACAGGTTTGACTCGTAATATTTGTGTTTAATTCATTATATAATAAAAGAAAGCTACTGTTTTTGTAGAGTTCAAAGACTAATAAACTTTTCAATAAAAATTTCATTATAAGATATATATATATATATATATATATAAGTTCATGTGGTTGAAACGTAGATTTAATGAATTTTTTCTCACCGCTCAAACCAACTTTTCAGGTCACTAGGGCAAGTGTGAGACCTGGCAAAGTTGTGAATGTGTGTCCATATCCAACTTGGGCTTCAGGTTGCCAGCTTATTTAGGCTAAACTTTTTTTTCAGGCTTTCTAAATGGGTTAACTTAGCTTAGTTGCTGGATCAGCTATGGGTCTTCTTGGGCCTCATATTCATTATTGTCATTGCTTAATTAGGCTCTAAATTTTAGGAAGCTCGGGACATACATATTCAAGACCAAACATGAACTAACGGAGAGGTTGCCCCTCCCAAGTTAGGATATTCCTTATTGTTTAATTATCTGTGTTCTGATTTTTCATAAGCTTAAGGCGCCCTTTGGAAATTGGAATAGTAGTAAATTTTGACAAATTTTCTGTTATTCGTTTCTACACCCACGGACACTATATTGATGATATGCATAAGCATTTGATCATCAACGTGAACAATGTTTATTTCAAAGTGTCTTATGCTATGATCTCCAGTCTCACAGCAGGTGATTTATATAAAACAAAAACCCTAGTATTGACCATTATTTCATAAACAGCTTTTTTTGGTTTCTAATTAATTCCATCCAGAAACAGAGCAATGCAGTACTAAAAGTATCCCCGATGATATAATCCTCATGTCATGATAGTTGATACATTTCAGCTGCACATTCTTACTCTTTCTTACTCTTTTTGTCTTCTTGCTCAAGCAGCTCCTCAAGCAACTTATCATCCAAGCATTCGAACTCAATAACTTCTCTTTGCATTGATGATGAAGAGGAAGAAGAACCTGAATAACCAGAAGAGAAATGAGGAGTGGAACTACTGGAAGCATTACCGGCCATATTGGGGTACTCGTTAGGAAAATTAAGAATGGCCAAGTGCCCTCTCATTGCGTAAGCTGCTCTGTCATAGGCTCTTGCTGCTTCCTCCGCCGTGTTAAAAGTTCCCAGCCACACCCTCACCCCGTGCCTGGCTGAATCACGTATCTCTGCCGCGAATTTGCCCCATGGCCTCTTCCTGACACCTCTGTACTTGACCTCTGCTCCGTCATCCTTGCTCTTTGTCCTGTCCTCATCCATGATGTTGTTTTTTTTTTTTTTTTGATGGGGAGGGTTGTTATCGGTGTCTGTTTTTGCATGGCTAATGTTTACCTGGAAATAGCATTTATATGGGTGGAAAAAGCCAGGTTGGCTAGGATTTGGAGGTCAACAACATTTGTCCACGTGGAAAATCTTATGGTTCATACTTATTCACACGTGTAGATCAGAAAGTTCTTAATGGAGAGTTTTGGTCCATTGTACCTAGATGGTCAAGGTGATGGCTTTGGAGTTTAGAAAAACCTTTTCGATATTCCTTTTTAACTTTTTTGTGCTTGTTTTGCAACTTGTTAATTGTGGGGAAACGAAAAAAAAAATTGAAAGGGGATTCTGTAACTTTGATGTCACAGGTCTGTGCAGATGACTGATGAGGTCACTTGTCTCGTCATTATTGCTCTATTTTCTTTGTCATTAACTTGAATGCTTGTCTTTTGGCTTTGATTCCATTGTTGATCCCGACAGAAAAGGGAATGTTTGTGCATTTGCAAGATGAATTTCTGTATCTGTCTTCAAAAAGTATAAAATAATCAATATATGGGTGCGCCAGATTTTATTTGACAGATTATGGAGAGATTGAATAAAACAAAATAAAAATGGCTAAAGATCTTTTGGAATAAGAAATTCATTTTGAAAGTGAGGGTGAGGATAATAAGGTCAATTTAGTGTTGGATCTATACATTCAGAGGTTGTTCAATATTTGGACACTAGATCCTTTCTCTAAGATTTAGGATGTAACAAAATGATATCAAAACTAGATGCTAGCCCAGTCTGAAACCAAGTGCTATACAAGACAAGTTCTATACGGGTAGGAGCTACTTTTTGAATCCACAGGAGCCATTTCTAGAATCTTACATTATTTGGGATTGATCTTAGACTTTGGTGCGACGAAGACACTGTAAAGCTAAGGGAGAAGAATGTGATGTCTCATGATATTCCATATGATGGAGAGACTGAATAAGTGAAAAAAAAATGATTTATGTAACTATGTGCAAAAAAGAATTTATTTTGATTGTGAAGACTGAAAAAGAGAGAAAAAAATCTGCTATTTCTTTTATTTCTTATCGAGAATGAATACAAGAGTTCAAAGAAAAATACAAAAGCTCTTTTACCCTATTTCAGTATATAGGACCCTATATATATATTATAAAACTAATAGAATTGATCACGTGTTTTGTGATCGCATTGACTGCGAAGCAACCTCTAACCGATTCTAACTAACCACTCAACAAATCAAATAATCTTATAATTAGCTATGTGATATGGCTGCCATGTAGTAAGCCTTACTCGCCATGTCACCTTCTTTATCGTAAACGTACTCGTAGAAACAAGAAGAACAAACAAGAATGTTGAACATTTTCCGATGAAACGAAGAGGATACCACTATGATTTCGATACTCCCTCATAAGAGGATCATGTATGTCAATCATGCTAATCTTGTTTGTAAGAACTTCAAATTGAGAAAGGTGAAGTGGCTTTATGAACAAGTCTCGCTACTTGGGCGATGAAGGGATGTATTCGGCTTCAAAATTCCAAGCAAGAACCTTTACTCGATGAAATGGCAGTCCATTTCTATATACTTGGTTCTCTCATGCGGGACTAGGTTTTGGCTAATGTAAATAGCAGATTGGTTGTCACACTTGAGCACAACTATCCGTTTATGCTCAAACCCCAAGTCCGACAACAAGCCGAGTAACCACGTGACCTCACAACATGTTGTGGCCATGGCTCCGTATTCGGCTTTGGTTGAGCTCCTTGCCACAACGAGTTGCTTCTTTGATTTTCAGCTGACAAAGGATTTACCAAGAAACACGGAATAGCCGGTCATCGATCTTCAGTATCCCTACAACCCGCCTAATCACTATCACTATAGGTCGTCGACTCGAGATCGGAGGATGAAGGGAACAACGGGCCTTTACCGGGAGCTTTCTTCAAGTATTTTAAAACTCTAAAGGTCGCTTGCAGATGGTTCGATTGACGAGTACAAAGCAAGATTAATAGCTAAAGGCTACAATCAACAAGTTGATTATAAAGCTTAACTTTGTATACCCACTTGCAGTCGATACTATGATGCTCGAAGGAAGAGAAACAATTGTCCAAGTATTATTCAACTCAAGAGCATCAAGCTCAACTTTCATAGCATCTCTCCAATAAGCAACCTTAACGACTTGTTGGAAAGAATGTGATTCATCAAGAATGGAGAGAGCTGAAAGGAACACTATATGGGAGGAAGATAACCTAACGGATGAGACATAATGATGAATAGAAAAGGCGAGTGGAATAAGTCAAAGGAGAGGAATTGGATGTAGTGACCAAGTTTGTATGGTATGAAGACGGATAGAAAGGTGGTTTTCGAAGTCTACTACTTCTCCCGACGGGAATGTCCAAAGAAGTGGTACCGTCGGTTGGTGAGGAAGAGGCTATAGGGGATGGGATAATGTCGGGAGCATCATCGGAATGATGAGAAATATCGGACAAAATAGGTTGATCAATATGACCGGACGAAGGTGTGGGGCTATGTGTATGCATCTACGGCATATTAGCACAATCACCGGGAACCGAAAATGTGGGATAGAGACCGAATGTTCTAGAGAGTGATGTGATGAAGGAGGTAAATGTCTAGGCTTACGGGAAAAGGGAAAGACACATTCATGAAAAATAACATCCTTGGATATGAACACAGAATTAGAATTCGGATCATAAAGCTTATAAGCTTTCATACCATTAGGATAACCAATGAAAATGCATTGTGTAGATCGAGAGTCAAACTTCTTTCTACCATGAGTAAGAGTAGAGGCAAAACATAAACACCCAAAAACCTTTAAATGAGTATAGGAGGGTGGTTTATGGAATAACATTTCAAATGGTGTTCTGTTTTGTAACATTAGTGAAGGTAGTCTGTTGATTAAGTAAGTGGTTGTTAAGATTGCATGTCCCCGTAAAGAAATTGAAAGATGAGATTGGAAAAGCAAAGCTCTAGCAGTAATGAGTAAGTGTTAGTGTTTCCTTTCAACAATGCCATTTTGTTAAGGGGTTTCCATACAAGATAATTGATGTAAGATTTTTTTTCGAATAGAAGTGTGGTAACTTGAATTCTGGACCATTATCCGATCAAACTTGCTTAATGGCAAAGCCAAATTGAGTTTGGATAAGATTAAAGAAACTAGGAAGATGGAACTGACATTGGATTTGGTTTTCATCAAAAATACCCATGTCATGTAAGTGAAATCATCAACTATGGTTAAGAAATATTGAAAATCGCCAAAAGTAGAATATGAATAAGGTCCCCATATATCAATGTGGATCAATTGGAAGAGAACGAGTAGTGCTTTGTTCATGAATTGGAAAGGTAAAACGTTTGTATTTGGCCATAGGACATACAACGCATGGTACTTTATTTGATTTAGAGATAGATTGAACATCATTACAATATTTGTGAATGACATCTAATTTTGCGGAAGATAAATGTCCTAACCTAAAGTGCCAAAGATCAAAGCAATCTTTGACATCAATTATAGGGATTACATTATTTGCAAACATAGATTTGTGCCTAGAACAGGAAACTTGACTACCGAGTGATGAAGGGTGAGATAAAGCGGTAGAGTGTTGCGACAGGTAAAGTCCTCCATTAACCTTAACAAGTCCAATCACTATCCAAGAGGGTACTGCTTGAATAAAATAGTAATCACCACCGAAATTAATGATAAGTTTTTTAGTATGTGTAAGTCTACCGATAGAGATAAGGTTGAATTGGAATGAAGGAATGAACAAAACGTTGTATAAAATCAATGTAGAGGATAGAGCTACTGTACCGCAGTGAGTAGCTAGAACCTTAGATCCATCCGGCATAATCACAAAAGTGTTATCAATGGTATGAAAAGAAGTAAAAGAACTTAAACTACATGCTATATGATCCGAAGCTCTCGTATCGACAATCCAAACGAGTGTTATTCATGAAATGTGTTGAGTTATGTGATAATTGTATAAAGCAAAGGTGTGGAGATTCTTTACTCGCATTACTAGTAACATCTTATGAAACCTTAGATGAACTAGAAGTCGAGGCGGATTGCTCATTGAGAATAGCTAACAAATGCTGAATTTGATGTTGAGTTAATAATGCTTGTGATTTTGTTTCGGAGTAGTAGCATTCGAGAGAAGAGTTACGTTGACAATCTATTTTATCAATGAATGAAGGAATATCTTCATCTTTCGTTTAAGCATCGCATTCACTCTTGAGAAATTAGTTCTTCCCCTAGTAGACTCAAAATTGCTAGTATATGATAGAGCATGTCTTCCTTTGGTAAATCTTGGATTGTTTGGAAAACCAACCAATCGAAAGCACCTATCCTTGGTGTGACTCGTCTTGCCACAATGTGTGCATACAATGGTATTCCCGGATCTACTCCGAAACACACCTCTACTAGCCATAGTTGAAGCTTCGTAAAATGAGGTTGATAACGAGTTAACTCGTTTTTGAGATTCCTCTCTAATCTCTAGGTTATACACTTCGTCAAGCGAAGGAAATAGCTTCATTATAATCACATTAGATCCTAGTGCTGCATAAGACTCATTCAATCCATTGAGAAATCGAAACATATAATCCTTTTGATGAAGATCAATGTATTTCTTAAAACAATTTGCATTGACTTAATGCACTCACGAGTGTGGCGAGTGGCCTATAGTTCCTCAATTCTTCCCAAACAAAGTTCAACTTAGTGAAAGACTCATCAATAGAGTGATTTCCTTGAGTGATTGAACTTAGTGTGTGCTGCGGATTGCACACTTTAGAATTATCCACTTGTGAGAAACGTTTCTTCAAGACTCTCCAAATTTCGCAGCTGAATCCATATAGAAAATTATAGCTGCAATTGGAGGAGAGATTGATCTTAGTAGCTAAAATATGATCGGATTGTTGCACCTCAACCAAGGTCTAAACGAGATATCATCCCCGTCCGGTGCTTCAATCGATCCATCAATAAAGCCGA